GGGGTCGAAGTGTTTTAGGTTTTCCTTACAACATTACACTGATCTATTTCTTATCGCTACTACTAATGTGGCTGTACATAAATTGTTGCAAGATAGAGACAATATTCCGGAGGAGCTAAGAGAAAAATGTACAAATTTCAAAAGTGAACCGAGCATTCAGCTAATAAGCACGGTCATAAAATTAGAGTTTGCGGTTGAAGATATGGTGAATTGGAAGCTATGGCTCTCCCGTCAAACTTTAATAGTTATAAGCAAAAATAAGAAGTTGGCATCTCAATACTTTGGTCCATTTGAAATGATGCATGTGTCAGAATATTTTTGTATCTAATGTGATTCCATGCTGACATGCTTAAGAAATAAATGGATTTGACTATGAAAAGGAAACTGAATTTATATATGACCTTTTTAATATTATGCATCATTTCAAATGGACCAAATTTTGAGATGCCAACTTCTTGTTTTTGCTTATAACTATTGAAGTTTGACGGTAGAGTCATAGCTTCCAACTAACCATATCTCCAACAGAAAACTATAATTTCCCGTGCTTATTAACTGAATGCTCGGTTCGCTTAAAATTTGTACATTTTTCTCTCAGCTCCTCCGGAATATTGTCTCTATCTTGCAACAATTTATTTACAGCCGCATTAATAGTAGCGATAAGAAATAGATCAGTGTAATATTGTAAGGAAAACCTAAAACACTTCGAGTCCTTAAATAGTGAACAAGAATAACAAACAACATAGTTTTGATTTAATGAAAGCTAAGAGATACTCTATTTCACTTCGAGGATTTACTTCGCTTAACCATTTTGGCAATATTTATTTTCTGTTATATCTTTACTTTTCTTCTCGATATTTTTTTTCTTCTTCATGAATGTCAAAGGAACTCTAAGCTTTTATCACTACATTATGGAGAAAACTCATCTTGTCCTCAAGATTCAATCTGGGATATAGTATATTTCTATGCAGTTTTGTTGATTGGTTCCCTAGATACCTCAAACCTAGATAAATTTGCCATTTTATCAACACTTCAGGTTTCCTACTTTATCAAATATTACTTTATAGAAGTTGTACTTTTTTTTTTGGCATCATATAATTAAGTTCTACTTAATATTCATTTAAATCAAATCGAATTCAAATTTGGTCCTTTAAAATATAATCTATCTCAGAAAATACCTTATCTACAAGGGAATTTCAAAACTACACCTTCTTGGGGGTACATTTTCAAAACTACACCTCCATAGTGTCTACGCACAGTCACGACATCGATCCATGGAGTGACAGAGTACTCAACATCAATCCATAGGGTTACGTAAGACTCATTTTACGTATCCATTAATCCTTGTGGGAATCAAGAAAGTTCACGAAGCCATTGAGATCCGTGACACTGGAGGAGACTAAGTCTAAACCAGGAACACGTTACCAAAGATTCACTACAAAAAAGCCTACATTCATAGCACATGGTAATAGCACGGTTCGTTAAACTGCTATTGAAGATGACTTTGTAATTCCGGCTATCATATTATAGCATTGCATGAATGCTATGATAGAGTTTTAATAAGCGGGAAGCTAATTACTCTTATTCCGCCAACACTTAGTAAAATTAAGACGATTAAGCATCAAAGACCTCTTAATTCCTTCCTTTCTCATTGAATTATAAAAAAACCCTTAGAAAAAGACAATACCCAACAGCAAAAAAACTCTCACAAAAACGCAATCGCTTGATTCTGTTTTAAATCGCCGTCGCCGTTGATCGATAGTCGGATCTGTTAGCTCTGCAGCAAATTTCCGACTTCTTCTTCGTCGACATTGAGCTCTAATTGAAGGCATGTATTTCTAACTCTGTTTGCCTTCGATTAGAGCTCAATGTCGACAAAGAAGAAGTCGGAAATTTGCTGCAGAGCTACATATCCGACTATCGATCAACGGCGACAGCGATTGAAAACGGAATCAAGCGATTGCGTTTTTGTGAGAGTTTTTTTGCTGTTGGGTATTGTCTTTCTGAGGGTTTTTCGATAACCAATAAGAGAGGGAGGAATTGAGAGGTCTTTGGTGCTTAATCGTCTTAATTTTACTAAGTGTTGGCAGAATAAGAGTAATTACCTTCCCGCTTATTAAAACTCTATCATAGCATTCATGCAATGCTATATATGATAGCCGGAATTACAAAGTCATCTTCAATAGCAGTTTAACGAACTGTGCTATTACGATGTGCTATGAATGTAGGCTTTTTTTGGAGTGGTTGTTCCTAAGCTTTTGCACGAGCTTGAAATCGAGATCTTTGCCTGTGTTCAATGTTTCCGCTACTGGAAACTGCAGTTTTTGAACAAGCAGTTTTCGCAGTTGCTAAAGAGCTACAAGATTTTTAAGATGAAACGTGAATGTGAGCTTGTCACACCATACATGGCTTTGCATCATGGTGGTAATACTTTCTGGAAAATGTTTGATAAAGAGTTTGAGGACTTTCAAAAACTTTCAGAAGTTCTTTTAGACTTTTGCTTCTTCTATAGCGATAGAGAACTGATTAGTGTGGGTACGCAAATAATCGTCATTTTGAGAGAGAAAGAGGGCACATTGATATGGAGATATGATTTAGAGAATAATAGATGGTTCAAATGTTCTCCAATGAACACACCGCATGCCGTTGGACCAATGCTTTCGTTGCATGTGGAATCAATGGGATAATATCAAGCGGTAAATATAGTGGATGTACAAGGATAATAATACCAAAATGTAGACCGAGACTCATCAAATGAATAAGAAAAGGGAATTCAACTCATGATTTTTTTTTTGCGTGACATGTTTTATGTGATTGGTGGTCAGGATGAGAATAATGAATACCTAACTTGTGGAAAAATGTATAATAAGATGACTGATTCTTAGAAGCTGGTACTAGACATGCTCAAAGACATGACGTTCAGGTCTTCTCACTCGCCACCCCTCATTGCGGTGGTCGTCAACTCATTGAAAAAAAAAGTTCAGTGAGTTTCGTGTTTGATCATAGAAACACAAACACTTGGAAGAAACTTGGTGTTGTGTTTGGGGAATAAAATATCACTTTAGTTTGGAGAATTGCACTTAAGTCAACTGGAAATAGGTTTTTGGTGACTGGAACATCTTCTTAATTAGGGGGTGAATAGAAAATTTTCCTTTGATGGCAAATAATTTTCAACAGAGGGAGTAACATTCTCCTATGAATATTTCTCTAAAGTGATGTATACATGAAAACATTAATTTTATATGATGTCACCTGTTGGATTTATTACTTTGGTAAATTTAGGGTTTCTTTTTACTAATTTGTGAGTATGCACAATTTTTGTCTCTCAATTATGTGATTGGCAAAAAAATAGCGGAATCACATTTTCAATACTCGATGACGTAAACATACATATCATTCAAGCCTTTATTTTTTTTTTTCAAAAATAAAGAATATTTGTTTTTTATATGGAGTTTTTTGCAAAGTCAAAAAAAAAAAAAAAAAAAAAAAAAAATCAGGACTGCACCAAGCTAAACAATTTGTCTAACCTCGATCGATGAAATTGAGAATGGAGCTGATATCAGATCCATGTGCATCGGCAAAAGCATGAGCTTCAAATCTCATCCCTGTCACATCTGAAAATAGCGCCTCTGATCATCAGAAGTCTAACAACATATAAAATAATCTATTGAAGATTGGTATTTAAGAATTGAAAGGTTAGGATCTGTGGTACCGCACAATCAACATACGTTATGACCATTTTTAATCACGAGAAACATACGATAAAAGAAATACAAACCTTTGAGCGTTCTTCGTATCCACCACTATGGAGGCAGCTGGTGAAGAAGAAGAGTTAGCATTAGAAGGTGGATTTGTGTTACGCCTCTTATCCTAGAGAGATTTGAAAAACTTTTACCACAAGAAAAAAAAATTGAGTATTGAAACACATAAACACATATACAGTTACAGATTATTTTTCATAGGTCGCCAAGTAAAAGAGAAAAGTCATTGCAAAATTCTAATCACGAATACAAAATACAAATGAATGAGACTTTGTACACTTGAATCAATCAAAATCAATTTAGACACCAACAAATTCTATGACTAATGATAAGGAGCTAGCGCACAACAATGATCATAGTGTAATTAAAAATGAAAGCTAGTTCATAATCTGGTCTAAACCTTAAGACTGGACACAGATCTGTTGCCTTGGCGAATTTTTGTATAGATCTAATCTAATGCACTCTCTAGGCTAGTCTCAAATTTAAAACGAAAATCTCATTTTGGTGTTTAGTTTGATCAAACAGTAGTAAAATCGAACAGATCTGAAACCGAACAAACACTAAAATATTTTTATCAAAAAACGATTTCACAAAAATCATAACACCATGACATCATTGACATGTACAGTAATTGTATACCGCTTGTGTGTGGTTCATGGGGGCTCTGGCAAGGTTCCTGTGCGTGGGTGGTTTGGTCAGAGATCTGGTGTATGGGTGGCTCCAGCGGGGATCTGGCTTCACTACGTGATAATCAGTAGAAGATGATTGTGGGATTCTTCAATCAAGAAGTGTGGTGTGGAACATAAAAGTTTTAAAGAAAATTTGCAACAAAATTCTGTATGAAATTGTTGCTTGCTTGAAAAAATAAATATATGCAAAGTCGTAGATATGTATATCTACAACAAAGGAAAGAAATATTTGGTAGATATGATTTGTGACAGTATTTGGATGTTTTTTAAATAAAAGAAATTCAAAGTTGCCTACAAATCCACTGTAACAAATCTATCACAATTGGATTCATTTCCAAAAATAGTCCCATTGTTTTTTCTTTTTCTTTTTTACTTATTTTTTTTTTTTTTTCATCTGAATATATTCCATTAACAAAGGGAAACAGTACAAAGGTGGAGTACAAAAAAGCTCGAGAGAGGTACCAAATCATACAAGAGCCTAGACTAAGGTGAAGAAATACACCAATCTAAAGAGATCCCAAAAAGACAGGCAGAGAAACAACCTGTGAAAGATCTAAGCAGAGGCCAAGCGTTTCTCACTGACAAACAGATCATGTAGCCAATCAGGATGACTACAAGCAACATAGGATTGACAAAAACTCTCCTTTAGCGCACTTTGAGCAATGAGAAAGGCGCCTCTGTTTTCCGATCTTGAAACAATCTCTATTCTCCACTCTACTATCCTAACCAAAAACTGTCTAAGCTCCAAGAAATGAGCTTTAAAGGAAGGCCAAGCCTTCGGTCTAATCAACATCTTCAGCAACTCGGCTGATTCCGCTGCCAAAAAAACTCTGTTTACCTTGTGAGCCACCAAGCTCTCCAGTGTCCATGACAGACACACCAACCTAGCATCTTCGAGGCTGCATATAGCACCAAAAGACCTTCTGCTATGCAGTAAAACCACGCCCTCGTAATCCCTCAGAACCCAAGCCCCACCGGCTGTCTTCGTTGTACTGTCCCACTTTACCGCTGAGTTACACTTTAACCAAGGATAAGGAGGGAGCTTCCAATCTTTCTTCCTCCCTCTGGTTCTGACCTCCTCTCTCTGGTTGTCTTCATTTGACATCATTTGAGCCATAAACCAAGAGTCAACCTCCTCCATAATCTTTTCCATTGTCTCCTTTGATCCGAAAAGGAACCCTTCGAACTTTTTACTTATTATTCAGAACTTTTAAAACTGTATTACTATAAATGTTTTAACCTGCGTTGACTGGCGGTCAAATATATTTTGTGTATGTGTGATTGACATTTGTTGTCATTTGACTCTGAATCACTATCCTATCACAAATGGATACAACAACTACATTTCCAAAAAGATTTACCATGATCAGATCAATCAGTCCGGTATTTGGATCAATTAATCTGGTATCATACGATAAAAATATGAAATTATCATGTTAACTGGATTATTATATAAAAAAAATATTGTGTTAATCAAGTTATTATATTATAGACAAATCTGTGAAAACTATGTGTCAACTTTGTTATCATTTTATAAAAAATGATTAGTTGTTGTTTCACTACCTCTCTTAACTGGACAAGTTAAGTGAATTATTTCGAGAATCTTTAAATTACATGTCACTAGCATTACTCCTACCAACGCACCTTCCACCAATGTTTTTTTTTGAGAACTTAATTAATGCAGAAAAGAGAAAAATATTACAAGCCCACAGGCCACAGGCCACAGGCTATAGAGTTTTTTAGAAGCCCAAAATAAGCACCTAGTTGTAATTTCGGATCTAAATTCAATCAGCCAAAAGGAATATGCCCATTAGTGATTAATTTCAGACTTGAAATTCTCAAAAGAGAATAGGAAGCCGGAAAGACGATTTCAGCCGCAGATCTTCATCCAACACTCTCCGTTGAAAGCCAAAGTTGCAGGAGTTTTGAAGCCATCTTGGTGTTCACATCTCGATAACTCGCAATTCAGTTCCTGATTTGCCTATGAATTGAAGATTTGTCGATGTAGTCTCCCATTTCTTTCATGCCATATCCAATAGATCGAAGCTTGCCAAGCCAAGAGCGTAAGTTTATTCCAGTGTTCATCTGAGCTAAGGAGTCTGCCCACATGCGTGCAGGTCGCAGGTTACTCCGTTTCGCAAGATACGATCTCTAGTAGGGCATCGATTCAGAACGAACAACCAAGTAAGGAAGTTATGTTTGGGAATTCCACTGTTTGTTTTGCCAAACAGCTCTAGACCAAGGAACTGCTTGTTGCTCTCTTCTTAGCTTGTGGTAGATCCCTCCTATACAGTATTTCTTTAATACGACTCCATCAACCTCCCATTCATAAGTGTCGTGAGATAAGCTTGTAAATTGACCATGTTTTCTGACCTTGCAGGAGGTAGCAACCACCTATCATTTCCATTCAAGCTCGCCAGCGTTGCCAATACTGGAATTCCAAGCCTAGTGTTTCTTGTCCCTTGCAGGTAGGCTGTTATGTTCCCAGTTGTCTGACCAGAACCTCGTAGCCCTTCCATCTCCTAGCTTTATCTTTATCCATGGGTAAACATCGTCCCTCATCTTGATCAATTTATTCGCAAGCCAAGAATTGTCTCTGTGAGTTTTTACTATCCAGAAGTTACTCACGTTGCCTTCCAACACCTCCTTAGGCTCTATTCCACACTACCAGGTCTTTTATTCCTAAACCTCCTTCCTCTTTTGTTAAAGTAACAGTCGCCCAAGAGACTCTTGCTGAGTTGTGACCCTCTATATTACCTTTCCAGAGATAGATACTACAGAGAGAGTTTATCCTTTTGATGCAGGCTTTAGGTAGTATGAAAGACGAGCACCAAAAAGTTGAGATCCCAGCTATCACTGTTTTGATGAGAAGGAGAGAGACCTTGCACTCCATGAGGTAACCTTTTCCTTGACTTGTTGGATTAGAACTTCACAGTTGTGAATGCTTAGCCTTTTTTGTGCAGAGTGGAACGCCTAAGTAACGCACGGGTAGAGTTCCTTGGGGCATCCCTGTTGAGAATTTGATCAAGTCGCATTCATGGTCAGATCAAGTCGAATTTGATCAACCTTCCACCAATGTTGATACATGCTTTTAGGTTAATCATATAGTTTGTATAGTTAAGTATACATTAAATTTTATGTAGATGTTTGACCATGCCATGTATTCTTGCAATAGTTTTCCTATTTTGTATGTGTTTCTATTTTTTTCCATCACACATTTTACACGTTTCTCCAGAACATCTATCCGCCATCCTTTGTTATGCGGACGCAGCTTGGAACTTGAATTTGTTGGACTGCGATATGGGCTGGACTTTTCGTTCTGATACAGACACCATTTTGACTGATGGTTTAGAGTCGAGAAGGCATGTTGTTTCACCTCTAAGGATAAGGGCTTTGACGAGCTGCATGTGGGATCAAACTCCCAAACATTTATCAATCTGTTTACCAAAGGAGAAGATCATACGAAACTATATGGACTGTTTGGCGACACTTTTGATGTTGCTTCCTCTTTTTCCTTGTAAAACAACAAACTATGAGATTATACGAAAAATAAAAAGAATAGAACAAGGAGAAGAATTTTGAAAAGAAGAGATTGTTTTATATCGGAAGATTTGAAGTCCAAGTACAACAACTAATTATGGTAAAAACATTCAATCGCATCCACACAAATTATTGAAATTTGAAAAATAAAAACCACCACAAACTTGTTCCATGCTTTGCTTCCCATTTAAGTTGATCCGCTTTGCATATAGATCAATCTTATCATTAATCACTGATTGTTAAATGGGACTTGATATATTCGTCGAGACCAGGAAGTTTTTGATCCTCGTCATAGCTGTACATCATAGGAACAGTTCTTGCAATGTTGAGACAAGCATTTGAGAACGATCTTGAGAACGGTCTTGGATTGAGACACTCTCTGTTCAAGCATTTCCATGCTTTGGATATCTTCTGGACAACATGTGTCCTTGCTTCATCAACAGTTGATCCCTTGTGCTCGTTCAGGTAACACTCTACGTATGATCCATCATACCCATCTTGGTTCTCGTCCTATGATCATAGCACACACACACACCAAAATATCTGTGAATTATTCGATATAGATTTTTGGATTATAAAGTCATTACTAGATCTTTATATTACCTTGGCACTTCCGAGATCATCCCACAGTCTCAGAATGGTTGCTGCTGACGATACAATCTTCGGGTTGCTCTCGATTAGCTCCACTTTTTCCTGGTTGAGATCTTTGCGCAGCAAGAAGTAGACATGTAGCATCACCAAATGAACACCTGAACTCATGATCCGAGTTAAACCACTTTGCTTCTCCTAAGAATGCTTTACACAAACTTGCCCACTGCGAAACAAACCCATTGTTGATGTTCGTAAGGCTACAAAATTTTCTTTCCAAGACATTGTTGATGGTTTTGAAAATTTTAATTACCGATTTTCGAAGAGAGTCCGTTGGGTTCCAACCATGTGATTTCAAGATCTTCATGCTAATCTCCTCTGTGATTGTATTTAGAGCTTCAAAGCAAACCTTCATGTATCTCGTTAGCTTTTCAAGTCCCTCAATGTCCCTTCGAAAATGCTTTGATTAGATATCTTAAACCATTTTTTTAAAATTAAATAAGTTAGTTTATGAAGTTATTTGACAAGTTGACACTTTTTCATACATAGTTGAGAACTAACTTTTACTAAATATCTGAGAAACTATAAATTTTTCGGTAAACTACCAATCTACTTTTTATTCCTGTATACATTTATTAGCTTTTACGTACTTGCATATAACTCTGCATAATTATATCTTCTTCGTCCGTAAAATAAGAATGAAATAGTTATGTCTTTGATTAAAACTTAGTGTTGGTGCAAAAGACACGTGATACTTCTTGTCAAAGAAAAAAACACTAGTTTACATGCATGTACCTCTCGACAGCTCGTGTGAAGACGGTCAGTTCTTCTAGCCCTCCGTAGACATCAAAAATGTCGTCTATAACGTAAACGAGCGATATCTTTTTCGTAAGATCAAGTCTTTGTTCGGATAACGTAGGATCTTGAAGAATTGCCATCGACCATGTGTGCCATTTCAATGGCTGTTTTCTTGCCTTCCATAGCTCCTTTTCTAAACCAAGCTCTCTCCACCATCTGAGAAATAAAAAAGCCCCTTTAGTTTTGTTTTTTCTTTTTGAAATTCACATGTACTTGTCGTTGTGAAAAAAATTAATATCCATCTTTAGAGGTGTATATCCTGCTTGACTTTACTTGAACGTTGTAGAAATTTCTTCTTGAATCAAGGAATTCAACATAACGGAATCGATCTCGACCACTCGTAATAGAGATTGTAACCACTCATCATCTTCTCGACTAGCTACTTTGATCATGTCTATGAGATTCTTGGAAGATAATCTTTGTAAGGTTTTGTGGCGAGGTTGTCTCAAAGAACTCATTATCTTTCGCTGTTGATGACTTTCTTGACCCGAGCAAAGTTCATTAAGGCGGTTAAACGCGAATTCTTTCGCGCCATCGAGTGTTTCTTCGCCTTCTAAACCGAGCTCAGAAGCTTCATACAATTCTATGAGACCCTTCACGTCATTTCGGAGTTCGTCTTTAAATCCACCCCTCTTGTCTCTAATGCTTTCAAACATACCTAAACGTTTTGTAAGTAATTAGAACACGTAAATATGGATATCATATGTTATACGAATGAAGTAACAAGTATGAAAATATGGTTGTTATATGTGTCGTACTTTCTTGAACATAGTGACCTTCTTGTCTCAGCAATCGAAAGCAAAGCGCGACCTCGCTGAGATCACGATCATGGTATCCATAGGTTTGAGCGCGGGCACATTCTTGATAGATCATGTGAAGGGTTTGATCGATCTCTTGTTTGAAATGAACATCGACGCCTAAACCTTGAATGACATCGATCATCTCCAAGATTTTGACTGGATCATCTTTGTGCGTAACAAGTATATTTTTGACCTTCTTAATATTCAATTCATAAAACTGTAACAAATATAACCACAATCGTGTGAGAAGTAGTTTAATATTACAAACCATAGCACAAATAACAAATCTTAAGATTAAATGTGAATAATCTCTGAACTACCAAATTTGTATAAGTCTTTTTTATTTCTTAAGGTGTCTGTTGATCTACCAAATAAAGAGAAGTACGTAAGATGGTCTTTGAAACTATACTATTAAATTAATAAAGCTGGCTGAAATTTAATCATAAAAGTCTATGTATAAAAAAAGAACTCAAAACCCTAAAACTATATATAAGAAAACATAAATGTTAACATACAAATATCTAACTGCATCACGTACCTTGGATGTAGGATAATCAGATAGTTTGAAAGACCTACAAGCCAAAGTGTAGATGTGACTTGAGCTCCATCTTTTAGCAGCATTTGCAGGAAAATAAGCAGCGGCATCGTGCATTTTTGAACCGAGAAACCTTGGAGTACTTTTTGGAAATGTAGAAGCAAAGCAAGAAACTGAACTTATTTTCAAAGTCATTAGATTCATTCAACTTATTTTCAAAGCAAAGCAATAAAGATGTATGAAACTAAACTTTTTATGATAGTGATGTCAGACTTCAAACAGAATGCTCTTATATATATATACTATGAGTTATTATAATTCATAATGTGGTGGGAAAACGCCATATATTTGTTGCTTTTTTTTGCATGTGCTGTTTAAGTCTAATATTCACTCTCATAAAAAGTCTATGTGGTGGGAAAATGTCATATATATGATACTGTATATGGTGCTGTTTTACATATATGTTGTGGTGGGCAAACGTAACGTCATATATGTGGTACCTTTTTTGCATGTGCTGTTTAAGAATTACGCTGGGACGTCCCGGCTCTTGGATTATCTGCCGCAATTAAATCTCTAGGTTTTTGGTATGGTTCCATATCAAGAATACGATTTTTTTGCCCGTGAGCCGAGTTCTTGAGCATTGAGAGGTTTCCCCTTTGTTCTTGAGTTCAATCCGACTTTATCACATTTTCTCCATCAGTTGTGTGGTGTCATTCGATCCATCAATCCATCCTCCATCGACCAGAATAAACAAAGAGAACCTTTCGGCCAGTTGCTTCTTCTCCACTCCATTTCATTCGACCATCCCTTGATCTAGTACAGAGAGCCTCTCCGCCAGTTGTTAGATTCCGTCTCTTTGATTACCATTCAAGGTAGGAAACCCGAAGTGTTGATAAAATGGCAAGTTTATCTAGGTTTGAGGTATCTAGGGAACCAATCAACAAAACTGCATAGAAATATCCTACATTCCATCTTGAATCTTGAGGACAATATGAGTTTTCTCCATAATGTATTGATAAAAGCTTGGAGTTCCTTTGACATTCATGAAGAAGAAAAAAATATCGAGAAGAAAAGTAAAGATATTTCAGAAAATAAATATTGCCAAATTGGTTAAGCGAAGTAAATACTCGAAGTGAAACAGAGTATCTCTTAGCTTTCATTAAATCAAAACTATGTCATTTGTTATTATTGTTCACTATTTAAGGGATCGAAGTGTTTTAGGTTCTCCTTACAACATTACACTGATCTATTTCTTATCGCTACTACTAATGCAGCTGTAAATAAATTGTTGCAAGATAGAGACAATATTCCGGAGGAGCTAAGAGAAAAATGTACAAATTTCAAAAGCAGCATTCAGCTAATAAGCACGGTCATGAAATTAGAGTTTGCGGTTGGAGCTATGGTGAATTGGAAGCTATGGTTCTACCGTCAAACTTTAATAGTTATAAGAAAATATAAGAAGTTGGCATCTCAGTACCTTGATCCATTCCATGCTGACATGCTTAAGAAGTAAAACATTAAACACCCAATGGATTTGACTATGAAAAGAAAACTGAATTTATATATGACCTTTTTAATATTATGCATCATTTCAAATGGATTAAGGTATTGAGATGCCAACTTCTTGTTTTTGCTTATATTTATTGAAGTTTGACAGTAGGGACATATCTTCCAATTCACCATATCTCCAACCGCAAACTCTAATTTCATGACCGTGCTTATTAGCTGAATGCTCGGTTCTCTTTTAAAATTTGTACATTTTTTCTCTCGGCTCTTCTGGAATATTGTCTCTATCTTGCAACAATTTATTTACAGCCGCATTAATAGTAGCGATAAGAAATAGATCAGTGTAATTTTGTAAGGAAAACCTAAAGCACTTCGACCCCTTAAATAATGAGCAATAATAACAAACAACATAGTTTTGATTTAATGAAAGCTAAAAGATACTCTATTTCACTTCGAGGATTTACTTCGCTTAACCACTTTGGCAATATTTATTTTCTGAAATATCTTTACTTTTCTTCTCGATATATTTTTTCTTCTTTATGAATGTCAAAGTAACTATAAGCTTTTATCACTACATTATGGAGAAAACTCATCTTGTCCTCAAGATTCAAGATTGAATGTAGGATATTTCTATGCACTTTTGTTGATTTGTTCCCTAGATACCTCAAAACTAGATAAACTTGCCATTGTATCAACACTTCGGGTTTCCTACTTTATTAAATATTACTTTATATAAGTTCTACTTAATATTCATCTAAATAAAATAAAATCCAAATTTGGTTCTTTAAAATATAATCTATCTCAGAAAATACCTTATCCACTACTGGGGAAATTCAAAACTACACCTTCTCGGGGGTACATTATCAAAACTACACCTCCATGATGTATATTTTCAAAACTACACTTTTTTTATTAAATAAATGAACTCTAAACCTTAAATCTAAACCCTAAACCTTAAAATCTAACATTAACCCTTAAATTTAAACCCTAAAACCCAAATTATAAACTCTAATTAGGAATTAGTGAACCCAAACTTAGATGCTAAATTTGGAAAAAGTGTTTAACTTCTTGAGATGTACATTTTCAAAACTACACCTCTATGGTGTTAATTTTCAAAATTACACTTTTTCCAAATTTAACATCTAAGTTTGGGTTCACTAATCCCTAAATAGAGTTTATATTTTGGGGTTTAAGGTTAGATTTTAAGGTTTAGATTTCTTTCATTTAATAAAAAATGTGTAGTTTTGAAAATGTACCCCAAAAATGTGTAGTTTTGAAATTTTTCCACTACTGAACTTGCCAAAATTATTATGTCGGACAATTAATTAAACCCTACAATTAAATATGAAAAAAAAATATAATTCCACACAACACAAGTACAATAAATGCTTTATTCTTAATTCATAAGCATGTAAAGAAAAATTCAAAATATATTTTAACAATAAATTGATTAGTTTTGAAAATTTGCACATCAAGAAGTGTATTTCGTAAAATTTCTCTTATAATAAGACATATTTAAGATATATACATTACCTTTTTTAATTTTACTAAACATGAGGAACCAAAGAGAATATACCTAAAGAGAAGAATAAGAAACTTTACCCAGAAAAACCAAACGATGGACTCCCTAAAGAAGAAATCTAAACTCTTCAAGAAGCACGAAAGATGGTAGATTCTCAACGTATCTAGGACAGGTGAGAGAAGAGGAATTTCAAAGGCAGCAAGGAAGGAAATCGGAAAGTTGAAGGGAGGCAAAAGCAAAGTGATTGATAACAGACACTTTCAACGTTGGGTTTCTTTTGAAGCAGTAGAGAAAGAAAAACAACTCATAGGGAAAGGTCGGCCGAAGACGGAAGAAGCAAAAGTCAAAAGGAATTCTGGAAGTTTTCAACAATTCTCAAAATCCTTTCAGAATTCTCAAAATCGTAAATACCATTTAGATGTATGATCTTTAGACAAGGCAAAGAAACAAACTTGGCGTTAGACGAAGTAGCCCAAGATACACAAGTGTACCAATGCCTCGTAGGTGTATATGCTCAGTGGCATCTTATCAGGACAGGGAGCACATGGCTCACCGATATGGAGTTTCTGAATCCTACACATAGTCAGGGCATCGATCCATGGAGTGACAAAGGACTCAACATCAATCCATGGGGGGGTATGTAAGACTCACCATGATGATCATCATCATAATGTAACCAGAGTTCATGTATCCATGAATTGTTGTGGGAATCAAGAAACTTGACGAAGCCATTGAGATTTGAGGAGTCTAAGTCTAAACCAGAAACACATTGCCAAAGATTTCTCCATATGGTGGACAAAACACTTGTTCTTACATTTAGTAGAAGCTTACAAAGTATGTCACATAGCAAAGCTTCATGCAACTCATTTATCAAGTCTTTGTCACAAATTGCTATAGCAGGTGTATATTAAACATGAGATTATACTTTGCATGAAGCAATTTGTGACAAAAACTTGAAAAGCGAGTTGCCTGAAGCTTTGATATGTGTCATACTTTGTCATCTTTCTAGTAAAGATACTGTAAGAACAAGTGTTTTGTCCACTAAAGATACTGTAAGAAATCTTTGGCAATGTGAACCTGGTTTAGACTTAGACTCCTCAATGGCTTTGTGAAGTTTCTTGATTCCTACAAGGATTCATGGATACGTAAACTCCGGTTACATTATGATGATAATCATCATGGTGAGTCTTACGTACCCCAATGGATTGATGTTGAGTCCTCTGTCACTCCATGGATTGATGCCGTGACTGTGCGTAGGATTCAGCAACTCCATATCGCTGTGCTAACCGTCCTGATAAGATGCCACTGAGAATATACTACACCTACGAGACATTGGTACACTTGCGTATTTGTTGGGCTACTTTGTCTAACGCCAAGTTTGTTTCTTTACCTTGTCTAAAGTTCATACATCTAGAAGGTATTTACGATTTCTGGAAAATGTTTGATAAAGAGTTTGAGAACTTTCAAAAACTTTCATAAGTTCTTTTAGAATGAACTAAGAAAAGGAAATTCAGCTCATGATTTTTCTTGCGTGACAAGTTTTATGTGATTGGTGGTCGAGATGAGAATAATGAATACCTAATTTGTGGAAAAATGCATGATAAGATGACTGATTCTTGGGAGCTGGTACTAGACATGCTCAAAGGCATGACGTTCAGGTCTTCTCACTCGCCACCCCTCATTGTGGTGGTCGACAACAACCTCAACTCATTGAATAAAAAAATTTCAGTGATTTCGTGTTGATCATAGAAACACAAACACTTGGAAGAAATTTGGTGATGTGTTTGTGGAGTAAAATATCACTTTAGTTTGGGGAATTTAGGTTAATTAGAGATAGGTTTTTGGTTTTTGGAGGTAGGTTAGAGATAGGTTTTTGGTGATTGGACCATCTTCTATTAGGGGGTAAATAGAGAATTTTCCTTTAACGGCAAGTAATTTTCAACAAAGGGAGTAACATTCTCCTATGAATATTTCTCTAAAGTGATGTATACATGAAAACATTAATTTAATTTGATGTCACCTGTTGGATTTATTACTTTGGTAAATTTAGGGTTTCTTTTTACTAATTTCTGAGTGAATATGCGCAATTTTTTTATCTCCCAATTATGTGATTGGCAAAAAAATAGCGGAATCACATTTTCAAAACGTGATGACGTAAACATACATATCATTCAAGCCCTTTTTTTCAAAAATAAAGAATATTTGGTTTTTTATATGGAGTATTTTGAAAAGTAAAAACAAAAATAATCAGGACTGCACCCTAGTATCAGGTTGAATAGAGAAATTTGTCTAACCTCGATGAAATTGAGAATGGAACTGATGTCAGATCCATGTGCATCTGCTAAAGCATGAGCTTCAAATCTCATCCCTGTCATATCTGAAAATAGCGCCTCTGATCATCAGATGTCTAACAACATATGAAATAATCTATTGAAGATTGGTATTTAAGAATTGAAAGTCATCGCGAAATTCTAATCACGAATAAGGAACACAAATGAAGGAGACTTTGTACACTTGAATCAATCAAAATCAATTTAGATACCAACAAATTCTATGACTAATGATAAGGAGCGCACAACAATGATCATAGTGTAATTAAAAATGAAAGCTAGTTCATAATCTGGTCTAAACCTTAATGATCAAAGATTATTAACCTATGCACCAAAGTTTAACCGCAAGACTGGACACAGATCTGTTGCCTTGAGATATGAAACTGAAAAGTAAAGAATGTTTGGTTTTTTATATGGAGTATTTTGAAAACTGAAAAACAAAAATCAGGACTGCACCAAGCTAAACCCTAGTAGAGAAATTTGTCTAACCTCGATGAAATTGAGAAGAGAACTGATATCAGATCCATCTGCATCTCCTAAAGCAGAAAGAGCTTCAAATATCATCCCTGTCATATCTGAAAATAGTGCCTCTGATTATCAGATCTCTAACAGCATATGAAATAATCTATTGAAGATAAGAATTGAAAAGTTAGGATCTGTAGTACCGCACAATCAACATAAGAAAGACAAACCTTTGAGCGTTCTTCGTATCCACCACTATGGTCAACTCAGAAGATACACTACGTGAAAGGTGGATTGGTGTTACGACTCTTATCCTAGAAAGATTTGAAAAACTTTTACCACAAGAAAAAATTTGAGTATTGAAACACATAAACACATAAACACATATATAGTTACAGATATTTTTCATAGGTTACCAAGTAAAAGAGAAAAGTCATTGCAAAATTCTAATCACTAATGAGGAACACAAAGAGACTTTGTACACTTGAATCAATCAAAATCAATTTAGATACTAATTATAAGGAGCGCACAACAATGATCATAGGGTAATTAAGAATAAAAGCTAGTTCATAATTTGGTCTAAAACTTAATGATCAAAGATGATTAACCTATGCCCCAAAGTTTAACCGCAAGACTGGACACAGATCTGTTGCCTTGGTGATTTTTTTTTAAGGATCTAATGCACTCTCCAGGTTAGTCTCAAATTAAAAACGAAATTATCATTTTGGAGTTTAATTAAACACTAAAATATGTTTATCAAATAACGATTTCACAAAAATCACAACACCATGACATGTACAGTAATTGTATACTGCTTGTGTGGCGGCGTGGGTGGGTGGTTCATGCGGGGGCTCCGGCAAGGATCCTGTGCGTGGGTGGCTTGGTCAGGGATCTGGTGTATGGATGGCTCCAGCGGGGATCTGGCTTCACTACGTGATAATCAGTAGAGACTTGTTGATAGAATCGCATGATTGTGGGATTCTTCAATCAAAAAGTGTGGAACACAATAGTTTTAAAGAAAATTTGCAACAAAATTCTGTAGGAAATTGTTGCTTGATTGAAGAAATAGATATGCTATCCATAGTCAATTCGTAGATATGTATATCTACTACAAAGTAAATAAATCTTTGCTGGTTTTAAAGAAAACTAGGAAATTGTTGCTTGCTTGAAGAAATATATATGCTATCCATAGTCAATTCGTAGATATGTATATATCTACTACAAAGGAAATAAATCTTTTTTTTTTTAGAACTGGCTTAAGGAAATAAATCTTTGCTAAGATATGATTTGTGACAAATAAAACAAATCAGTATTTGGAAGTTATTAATTGAAGGAATTTTAAAATTGCTTACAAATCCACTGTAACAAATCTATCAGAATTTAGATTCATTTCCTAAAAGATTACTCAGCTTTCTCATTTTTTAATTTTCCTTTTACTAATTATGTTTTAGTCTGCGTTGACTGGCGGTCAAATATATTTTGTGTGTGTGTGAATGACATTTGTTGTCATCTGGATAAAACAACTTCATTTCCAAAAACCTTTACCATGGTATTTGATCAATTAATCTGGTATCATACGATAAAAATATGAAATTATCATTTTAACTGAATCATTATATCATAAAATTATTGTGTTAATCAAATTATTATAGGGGTTTTAATGAGATAACCGGGAATCACTAGCATTACTCCTACTAACTTTACTATGAGCACATTCCACCAATGTTACAGTTATCACTTCCGCCAATGTTGATACATGCTTTTAGGCTAATCATATAGTTTGTATAGTTAAGTATACATTATATTTATGTAGATGTTTGACCATGCCGTGATGTATTCTTGCAATAGTTTTTCCTATCTTGTAAGTGTTTCTATTTTCTCCATTACACATGTTACACGTTCTCGAGAGCATCTATCCGCCATCCTCTGTTATGTGGACGCAGCTTGGAACTTGAATTTGTTGAACTGCGGTATGGGCTGGACTTTCCGTTCTGATACAGACACCATTTTGCTTGATGGCTTAGAGTCGAGAAGGCATGTTCCTTCACCTCTATTGACGAAGCGTGGGCATTAAAATCAGTGCTTACACAAGTAAAGGATAAGGGCTTTGATGAGCTGCATGTGAGATCACACAAAAAATTTTATCTTTTTTTGGGGTAAAATGCTTGTGAGATCAAACTCCCAAATATTATCAATATGTTTACTACAGGAGAATATCATACGAAACTAGTTGGCCTGTTTGGCGACACTCGTGATGTTGCTTCCTCTTTACCCCTCACAAATGGCTTTAAAATACATGCAGAGCCAGTGCACATGCAGACCAAGCATGAGCTTGAGGCCCTTTTTACATGAAAAGTTTATAATGTAAAATAGTCTATTAGTTTGCGGTTTTCTCAAACTCAAAGCCGGCTCTGCATGTGAGATCAAACAAATAATTTGGGATGTACAAGTACAAGATGTAACGCCATGATTAGTCTCCTCGATTATCTTGTGTCTTGTGCTTTGGCTTAATTGCGAATAATTTTTTGTGATCGGTCTTACTATCCCAAGAAACTGGTATAGTTTTACTGATCAATTTATCTTGTTTGCATAATACTGTTTCAACTTGATTCTTTCGATGGCGAAGTTTTTTAAAATCGAATTTTTATGATTGCGCCTCTTGAATAAATTATAGATTCGTTTACATCATGTTTCCACCAAGTTGGAAACTAAAACATAGCTAAAATTACAAATTGGGCTTTACAAGTCTATATTACAAAGTTGGAGTGTCGTCGGTGGGGGAGTCCATAGAATTTGTTTAAGAATTTATGTGGAACTTGCCATTCGTAAAAATCAGAAAGGCCCATTCAATAACGTGAAAAATGCTCAACCCTGGCTCAAAAATACAATTTTTTGCGTTACATTCTTTGCTACATTATTTTCTGATTACCTATAATGGACTATGGGTTATGACGTATCTAACATCTTACTACCAAGTTTGAGTTAATAAGAACCAAAAACCATTCCTCATTGTTTCATAGTATCTCAAGCGGCATGGATATTACATGATTCAAATGACTTTTACCTTGAAGCAGGACATAGTACTGGTGTGTATTTTGAACCATCTTTAGTAGCCAAACTTCAAGCTTAATTAATGGCAACACAACATGTCTGGAAAGAGGGTTCTTGGCATGTTATATCTTTGAGGGAGATAATAAGTCTGTGTTCAGTCTCATTAGATGGTTTAGTGAAGAATTTTAGAGTTCGTAGTTCGGTACGAGAGATCAACTCTGGAGAAATAAGTTCATATAATCATTTTATGGAGGTAGTTGAATGGGTTCCAATGAGATGCAATAAGGCTGCGGATCCATTGGTTAAGGATTCGTAGATATGTGATAACAAATGGTGTGGTGTAGATATGTAAATAAGTTCATATAATCATTTATCTCTCAGTTTGTATCTTTCTTCTGTGTCCCAAGATACGCTGTGATAAGTGATAACAAATGGTGTGGTGTAGATTGAACATTCGCTTTCATGGATTCTAAAGCGTATAAAAAAGAATTTAAATGTACAACTTTTAAGGTATGGAATCATCTTTTGAAAATGTTTTTTTTTTTTTTTTTTTTTTTAACTGGATAAAAAATATAAAAAAAAGGCTCCTATAATCTTTTGAAAATGTTAAAAATACTACACATACATGCATAATCATTCACGTATAGTCACTCGATACGTGTATGCTTACGTATATGTACATTACATATTCATGGAATTTTCCGATGTAGACATATATTTAAAATAAATTTATCAAACCAAAAAAACAATAAACAAAAAAAGATTCGTAGGTACTGAAAAATTCAGTATCCTTAAAACTATTATTGTTTTTTTTTTCTTGAATTCAGTGCAAAGTGCAAACATTACATCTTTTACTTCGAGAGTCAATATCTCTGTAATCTAAATTACATTCACTTTCGATATTACAGATATGTCGGAAATCATTGTGAGTTTGGATAAAGAACTCAAATAAACATAAAGCGTAAAATACAGAGAAATGGTCGAACTAAATACTCTTTTCTGTAGAGTTTTTCTTCTTATCATCTTTGTAAATGAACTGTTACAAAACTATATAAACTTTGTTATATAGATCCAAGAAACCCTATATAACTAAAAGTAGGAAATGGACTCACAAATACTGTACCATGTCATTCCTCTGCTCACCTATAAACGTTGAGTCACTTTGAAAAACAAAAATGAATCGATTCATTTCACAAACTATTAACCATTTGATGACCACCTCACCCAATTTCTCTATTGATTACTTTTGAAAATAAAAAATATATATTTTGTATATCTAGAAAGGGGTATCCAAAGTATGGAAAAGGTTAATTTCACGAAGGGTCCAATCATAATAAACTCTTCGTATCAAATTTTTTTTTTTTTTTTTTTTTTTTTTTTTTTTTTTTGAGTTGGGGAGGTGTGGTCAGAAATATATTTTTATGAAACTAAGTATGTATTATTACACCCCAAAAAAAGATATGAAGGACATGTATTTTAGCTTTGTGCTATGCATGGTTCATTTCTTTTCAACTCGATATCCCAAGAATCTAGCGTCCACTACAACATGTCCACCTTTCCTGTTCCTGCCGTTAAAATTTTCTACTTTTGTGGATCATAATCCTACCTTTATAATTGATGAGTTAGAGTTACTCCGGATTCTCTGCTTTCGGCATGCGTTGGTTTAGTTTGATCTATTACATTCGGTTTGGTTAGTCTTCAGCTCGGTTTGTATGGTAAGTACTCTTTAGTGTTATGCTTATAAACCAACACACATATTGAACCGATATATAAACATAACGTGGTGATTTGCCAAATGAATTTGTTAAGACTCTCTGTTGCACTTGATTGTAAACCACAAATAATCGTAAAATAGAGAAGGGAAACAAAATCAAGTTACACTTGATCTAAGAAAAGAGACTTTACGAGTTACGAAGTTTCTTTGAGTTTCGTTCGATTAAAGTGTGAAAGGTGTTATGGTGTACGATTTCCAACAAATAGTAAACCCTTTTTTGATGTAAAAACCCTAATTTAAATTTAAACCCTAAACCTTAGATATTAATCTAAATTCATAAATCGAATTCAAAATATTAAATTCTTGAACTGGGATTTTCGTATTTGCTTTTTGGATGTTCCTTTTCTATTTTAATTACACAATTGAATGTGAAAGACTTGAACCTAACTGAGAATCATAATTAATTCTATGGTAGATGTTGAATTATTAGAGATCCATGTCATTATCTCTTTTTGATCATTCATAATAAGAGTTTAAAGTCAAATGCGTTGACTTCTGTATACTTTCTTTCGGAAAGTGATTTCCCAAAAGAAAAACAAATTATTATGAATGATAATGGTTATACACTTATACTTAATACTCCATCCGTTTTATAATAAGTGTCGTTTTGACTCTTGACTTACCCAATGTATCTAGATGTATATGGATGTATTAAGACTCAAAACATATTCAGATACATTAATAAATAGTCCAGATTCATTTTATCAAAACGACACTTATTATGAAGCGGAAGGAGTATTTAAAAATGTTGAATAACTTGCATGTCCATGGAATATGTTTTTCATTCTGTATACATTCTTTCAAAAAGTGATTTACCACCTAATTATGGATATCATGTTTTTTTGTGTGAGATTATGGAATGTTTTAAAGATTGAAATGTACTATATTGAATGTACTATATTGAATGGTTATGCCATGACAGGTTCACGATGCTAGACGAAGTTAGAGTTTCAAATCCCTAAAAATAATAAATGTTGTTTTTATTTCATAAAATATCCCAAAAATGTCAAAATATTTGTGTTTTGAGAAAAAAAATTCTTATTTTTTTTTAAACAACATGCTATATTAAAATATGTTATTTTATTCAAGTATTGATTTGTAATTTAAAAAAAAAACATGCTACTCCCTCCGTTTCAAATTAGTTGTCGTTTTGGAAAAATGTATCTGCCATTATTTGGATGTATCTGGATGTGTTTTGACTTTAATACATCCAAATAATTGCAGATACATTTCCCAAAATGACAACTAATTTGAAACGGAAGAAGTATATAAAAAGATGTAGCAAAAATTTGGCCATGCCATTTTCCACTACTGGCATAACACATTATTATGGGAAATACAAAAAAAAAAGAAAAATTGTTCAAAACGTGAAAATAGAGGAACAGTCCTTTATTTTGGTTTTATCACTACTTATATAAATAATTGTTCATTCGCACAAAAACAAATACATAAATAATTGTTCATGATCATCTAGTTAATTTACCAAGAGAAGAAAAGCTGATAGACGGCCAAAACTAGACAGCACAACTGCTAAAAGCAGACTACCTATATGTTGTCTAAAATAAAGTAGACTACCTATATAAATATATAGTTCACAAAAGTATTTTAATTCACTAAAGATGACATTAATTTAAATCAAGTTTGTCTCAAGAAAAATAAAAGTGATAGGAATCATAAAGTAAGGAACCATTGATGGCCGTTAAAAAAAAGAATCATTGATGGATTAGGTCTATTGATGGACATAAACAAGACTTAATCAAAGTGATAGAGTTGTTGTGACAACGATTTCGAACTATATGGAAGTTGATAGATCCCTAATTATAGATCGGCACTTTGAAGCAAGTTATGAATGAGGATTGTGAGATGGATTGATGAAGTGATGGAAGTGACTTGGGCGAGATGGTAAAGTGGAGATGATCGAGTGGCTATAACAAGAGATCTGCGGAAGGATCTCTCAACACCAAACTTGTTGATCTCAAGGATATTACACACCAAGAGATGGACAAGGCTTGATCTCCAGGATATGACACACCAAGAGATGGACAAGGAATAGATTCTCAAAGATATGACACACTAAGAAAACTATAAGATCTTAGATATTACACACTAAGAAGTTTGATGAACAAACAAAAGGGTTTTGATTAAAAGATTGATGAAACAAAGGGTTCGTCCAGCACAATATAAAGGGAAAGGGAAGAAGAAGGAAGAAGAGATGAGAATGGAACAGGCTCCATGACCATCTCGGAAATACAAAACATAAAGAAGTTCTCATGCATTGGGCGGCAAGATTTCAAAGTAAGAAGGTGGGCCGGACCCAAACAACATGAGACAAAGAAGAGATGGAAGTGGGTCTTAGGCCTCATTAAAAACCTACCAAGGAAAACCCAAAGGGACAAAACCTTGGCAGGGAAAAAGAGCACACTAAGAATCCACTTGCTTCTTTATCCCAAGTGTTGGGCTCAAACAAACCAAGTGGAATGCTTAAGCTCTGATCATGCCGACTCAAACGGCTAAGTACTCTTCCAATGTCTTGGTTGAGCAACTTAGTTTGGGACCTTGTAACTGGGACCAGTTGGTATGGTCAAGTCCAAAGCTTCCTCAGGTTCAAGCTGCTCCTCTGCTACAAGCTCTCCAGCTGCTTCCTGGTCCAAGTTCCTAGCAACCTCCTCCATGATCATATCATCCCCTCCCTCTTGAAAAGGATTTGTCCTCAAATCTGGTTCATCTGCAAGAAAAGGAGAAAGATCAGTAACATTAAAACTTGAACTTATGTTATACTTACCTTGAGATCAATTTGGTAGGAGTTGTTGTTGATTCTTCTGGTGATCTCAAATGGTCCATCTATCCTTGGCATAAGTTTGGATTTGCGCTCGGCCGGAAATCTCTCTTTGCGCAGATGGATCCAAACCTTGTCTCCCACTTCAAAGATCTTCCTTTCGGCCCTTGTTGGCTTGTTGAGCATACTGCTTGGTTTTAGCCTCAATGTTCCTTCTGGCTTGCTCATGGATCTTCCTGACTGTTTCTGCCTTGTGCTTTCCATCTGTGCTTAATCTTTCACTCAAAGGCAAAGGCATCAAATCCAAAGGAGAGATGGGCTTAAACCCATAAACAATTTCAAAAGGAGAAAACTTAGAAGCAGAATGCACAGCATGGTTATATGCAAACTCAATATGTGGCAAACATTCATCCCAACTTTTAAGATTCTTTTTAATCAAGGCGCGCAACAAAGTTCCAAGAGTTCTATTAACAACTTCAGTTTGGCCATCAGTTTGAGGGTGACAAGTAGTAGAAAACAAAAGCTTAGTACCCAACTTAGACCACAAAGTTTTCCAAAAATAACTCAGGAACTTTGTATCACGATCAGAAACAATGGTGCGCGGCATGCCATGCAATCTAACAATCTCTTTAAAGAACAGAGCAGCTACATGAGATGCATCATCAGTCTTATGACATGCTACAAAATGAGCCATTTTTGAGAACCTATCAACTATCACAAAGATAGAATCTTTTCCAGTTCTAGTCCTAGGCAATCCAAGCACAAAATCCATGGATATATCAGTCCAGGGATGAGATGGAATAGGGAGAGGAGTGTACAAACCGTGAGGTTGAACCTTAGATTTGGATTGTTTACAAGTTGCACATCTAGAACAAATCCTCTCCACATCTCTGATCATGTGCGGCCAATGAAAATGATCCTCATGACTTGAAGTGTTTTGGCCACACCAAAGTGTCCCATCAAGCCTCCTCCATGTGCTTCCCTGACAAACAAATCCCTCAAAGAACAATTAGGCACACAGAGACGGTTCTCATAGAAGAGAAACCCATCTTGTCTAAATATCGGCCAAAAGCAAACTTAGAACAAGACTTATAAATCTCAGCAAAATCAGAATCAGAAGCATACAAGTCTTTTATCTGTTCAAAGCCCAAGAGTTTAGCATCAAGAGTTGAGAGAAGAGTGTACCTCCTGGACAATGCGTCGGCTACAACATTGTCCTTACCTTTTTTGTACTTGATGACATATGGGAATGTCTCAATGAATTCAACCCACCTGGCATGCCTCTTGTTGAGCTTCTGTTGGCCCTTGAGATGTTTGAGAGATTCATGGTCTGTGTGGATGACAAACTCCTTTGGCCAGAGATAGTGTTGCCAAGTTTGTAAGGCGCGGACCAAGGCATAGAGTTCTTTGTCATAGGTTGGATAGTTGAGAGTGGCTCCTCCAAGCTTTTCACTAAAGAAAGCAATTGGCTTCTTGTCCTGCATCAAGACAGCTCCAATGCCTATACCTGAAGCATCACATTCAATCTCAAAAGTTTTCAAGAAGTCAGGTAAAATAAGAACAGGGGCATTAGTCAAGCGATCCTTGAGAGCTGGAAAGCATCCTCCTGTGCTTTCTCCCACTTGAATCCAACTTCTTTCTTGATGACTTCAGTTAAGGGTGCGGCCAAGGTACTAAAATCACGGACAAACCGCCTATAGAACCCAGCTAGGCCATGGAAGCTTCTGACTTCACTCACTGTCTTAGGACTTGGCCATTCTCTGATTGCTGCAACTTTCTCTTCATCCACCTTGACTCCATCTGCACTCACAACAAAGCCTAGAAAAACCACATTATCTGTGCAAAAAGTACATTTCTTAAGATTGGCAAACAATTTTCTTTTCTTAGCACAGACAGGACAGATGCAAGGTGATCTAGATGCTCTTCAAGGTTCTTGCTGTAAATCAAGATGTCATCAAAGTAAACCACAACAAAATGACCAATGAAGTTTCTCAGATATGGTTCATTAAGCGCATGAATGTACTAGGTGCATTAGTGAGACCAAATGGCATGACAAGCCATTCATAAAGACCATGTTTAGTTTTAAATGCAGTTTTCCATTCATCACCTTCTTTCATCCTAATCTGATGATAACCACTTTTTAAATCAATTTTAGAGAAAATGCTAGAACCATGCAACTCATCAAGCATATCATCAAGTCTAGGGATAGGATGTCGATACTTTACAGTGATATTGTTGATGGCTCTGCAGTCCACACACATGCGCCAACTCCCATCTTTCTTGGGCACAAGAAGAACAGGAACAGCACAAGGACTCATGCTTTCCCGGATGTGACCCTTATCCATAAGCTCATCAATTTGGCGCTGGAGTTCTTTGGTTTCCACAGGATTGGTTCTGTATGCTGGACGGTTTGGAAGAGTGGATCCAGGACAAAGTCTATTTGATGCTCAATGCCTCTGACTGGTGGCAATCCCTTGGGACAATCATCTGGAAACACATCTGGAAATCCTGTAAAAGTTTGGACATCTCACTCGGAATCTCCGGTGCATTATCAATCAAGAGGTTAAATGATCCTTTAAAGATGATAAAAAGAGAAAAGGCTTATCAGAAGACATGGAACTTTTAACCTGTTTGGATTTGGCCAGATAGTTCAGGACTTGTTGGATTTGGTTGGCTCCTTCTTGGCTTGAGGTTTAGTCTTTGGCCACTCAACTGAACTTGATCTTCATACACCTCTTGAGGGGTTAAGGGAATGAGAGTGGTCTTACGCCCCTTGTGAAGGAAGGTGTACTTGTTTGTGAAAGCCATCATGCACACGCCTATCAGATTGCCATGGCCTTCCCAGAATGATGTGTCCAGCATCCATAGGCAGGACATCACACAAAATCTCATCCTCATAGCTTCCTATAGATAGTGGCACGACCACTGCTCCTTCACACTCATATCTCCAGTCTCATTGATCCACTGTAGCTGATATGGCTTAGGATGTTTCTGAGTCACAAGACCAAGCTTCTCAACCATGGCCTCACTAGCCACATTAGTGCAACTGCCTCCATCAATGATTAAGCTGCAAACCTTCTCCTGGACAAGACAGCGAGAATGGAATAGGTTTTCTCTTTGCTCTTCCTTTTGGACTTGAGCGCTCAAGAGTCTTCTGGCTACCAGAAGCTTTCCCATGACAGGCACAGCCTCATACTCCTCTGGCTCTGGCTCTTGCTCTGGCTCTAGACTTCTTCCTCAGACTCCACTTCTCCATTATCTCTTATGAACATGATCTTCTTGTTGCGGCATTCATTGGCATAGTGTCCAAAGCCTTGACATCTGAAGCACTTAAGCTCGCGGGCTCTGGGGCAGAGGTTGTACTGGACTTGTTCTTGTCCTTGTCTTGGTTGTAAGGACTCCTCTTGGCTCTGACTTTGGTGTGAAAGCCGGTTTGGAGTCTCTGGCATAGACAGGCCGGCGCTGATCAGTTCCATGCGAGTTGGCGCTCTCCTCTTGAGTTGGGTTTCGGCCAGAACTGCTTTGTGTAGCATAGACTCCAAGCCCACACAGTTTTGCATCTCCACAATATCTTGGATCTCGCGGTTGAGCCCTCCAAGGAACCTGGACATAGTGGCTTCTCTGTCCTCAATCACATTAGCCCTTAGCATCATTACTTCCATCTCCTGGAAGTATTCTTCAACTGTTTTGGACCCTTGAGTGAGCCTCCTGAGCTTAGAATGTAGCTCTCTCTGAATAGCTAGGTATGAACCTCTGCCTCATGATCCTTTTCATCTCTTCCCAGGTAGAGACCTCAAGAGCTCCACCAATCTCTCTTGCGGTCACGACTTGTTCCCACCACCTTAGGGCATAGTCATTGAACTCAGAGACCGCCAGTTTGACTCTGTTGATGTTGGATATGTTGTGTAAGTTGAAGTTGAACTCACACTTCTTCTCCCAGTCCATGTACTCATCAGGATTGTTGTGCCATGGAAAGGGGGAATCCGGATCTTGTATCCTCCAAGATCGACCATTGGTCTGGATCATCTCGCGATGCCTTCTAGAGCGGCGCCGCTTCCTTGAGAGGAATGGCCACTGTTGTAGTAAGCATTGGCTTGCTCATCGGCCATCCTTCTTGAGGCCATAGGGTCATCTCTCTCATCTTCGAGATATGGATGGATCTCTAGACTCCTTTGCGCTTTCCTGCCTTAATTTGTTCCCTCCGTCAAACTCATCCCTCATGAGCTTCTTGATTGTTCCAGAAGGGATTCACTGAGACTCTTGTTCGAATCCTCTTCATCTTCCTTTCCATCCGCCATAGTACCTGAAACAACAGAAAGAACTCGGCAGTTAGAGAGTTCAAAGGAAAAGATCAAGAAATAATTTTAGAAATTATGCAAACAATTTCTAAAAATATGGGAAAAATAGTAGATGGATAGATCTATGAGAGTGATCAGGATTAATTATGACAATAGTTTTAAAATTGTGCAAATAATTAAACCAATTTCCAGTAACAAAACTCGCCAGATCTAGAAGATGAACAGCCACAAATGATATGATGAACAAAAACGAAATAAAACAATCAAAGGAGAGAGTACTTAGCTTCAAAGTGGCTCTGATACCACTTGATAGACCCCTGATTATAGATCGGCACTTTGAAGCAAGTTGGAATGATGGGATTGGTGAAGATGGATTGATGAAGTGATGGAAGTGACTTGGGCGAGATGGTAAAGTGAATGGGATGATAGAGTGGCTATAACAAGAGATCTGCGGAAGGATCTCTCAACACCAAACTTGTTGATCTCAAGGATATTACACACCAAGAGATGGACAAGGCTCTGTTGATCTCCAGGATATTACACACCAAGAGATGGACAAGGAATAGATTCTCAAAGATATGACACACTTAAGAAAACTAAAGATCTTAGATATTACACACTAAGAAGTTTGAATGAACAAACAAAAGGGTTTTTCATTAAAAGATTGATTGACAAAGGGTTCGTCCAGACAATATAAAGGGAGAAGGGAAGAAGAAGAGAAGAAGAGATGAGTCAATGGAACAGGCTCCATGACCATCTCGGAAAATGACAACAAAACAATAAGAGAGTTTCTCATGCATTGGGCGGCAAGATTTCAAAGTAAGAAGGTGGGCCGGACCCAACAACAGAAGAGATGTGAAAGTGGGTCTTAGGCCTCATTAAAAACCTACCAAGGAAAACCCAAAGGGACAAAACCTTGGCAGGGAAAAAGAGCACACTAAGATCCACTTGCTTCTTTATCCCAAGTGTTGGGCTTCAAACAAACCAAGTGGAATGCTTAAGCTCATGATCTGCCGACTCAAACGGCTAAGTACTCTTCCAATGCCTTGGTTGAGCAACTTAGTTTGGACCTTGTAACTGGGCCAGTTGGTATGGTCAGTGCTTCCTCTGGTACAAGCTGTTCCTTTGCTTCAAACTCTCCAACTGCTTCCTGATCCAATTCTTTAGCAACTTCCTCCATGAACTATCAAAAGTCAAAGTGTTTCACTTGTACTTTGGCTTTGAGTTAATACTGTTGTTGGAGTTAATACTGACCAAGTACACCATTCATACATAAAGTACAAATTATGTAGTATATTAAATTATTAACCATAGTATATGTAAGAATTATTAACAAAGGAAATTCTTAATGAAAAGTCAAAACTATTAACACCACCTCTTTAACACAGTGGTGTTAGACTGTTAGTGCCACTAAGCTAAGAAAACGGAGCTAAATCCAACATATAAATTAAATACTTCCTCCGTTTCAAATTAATTGTCGTTTTGGCAAAATGTATCTGCAAATTTTTGGACGTATCCGGACGTGTTTTGCATTGCAGATACATCCAAAAATTTGCAGATACATTTTGCCAAAACGACAACTAATTTGAAACGGAGGGAGTATCTCACAAGCAAGTCTAAATCACCTATAAAAATGTCTTACCAATATATTAAGTTTACAACTTTAGTGCGACCTTTTTTTTCTTCTTTTAACAACTTTTCATTAAAATAAAACTTAAACCATTATACACATAAAAAACTGAGAATTCTTTGCCAAATAGTAGAAGTAGCTTAATGCAAAAATGAAATACAAAACAATAAAAATATAGGTTAAACAGTTAAAATTAAAGATAAAAACTGGAAGTTTCTTCAAAAATGATTTTAAAATGATTGTATTGAAAATAATCTTGAGTTCTTTTGCTATTAAAAGCGAGCGAACAAGATGAATGGCTCGTGATACTTCATCGATCAAATAGTGCGACCTTTCATCGACCAATACTCCTACAGTTTTGTGGACGAGTTTATAACACGAGCTAAACATTCACCTATACAATTTTATGGACGAGTTTAGAATACTCCAAAATACATTCCCTACTTTCATTCTAGAGGTGATTCTTTAGCTCGTGTTTCCCAAATCAGATTTTTTATGTTTCCTTTGTAAATTTTGTTCTTTTGGATTAGGACAACTAATGTAGAATTCTCTTTTTAACATTTGATTAAAAAAGTTATGAATCAGGATAAACCTACTACCCATTTAGAATCTTCGTCTTTCTTCATTATATTACTTTTATCCTTTGTTGCATTTTATTCTCACGTGGTTGTATTATCACATTAAATAAAATAATGATGCCGCAAATAGAGAATTGAGTTCATATCATTGACTTTTCAACCTCATGTATTTTGATCAGTGTATATGTTTATATATAATAGACCTGAACTGAGACTAATTAGATTTTTAGAACGTTAGGACTTGTTTTCGACCAAATAAAAAAGAAACGAACGTTGAGACTTGTAACTTGTTAGACTATTTATAGTGATTACCAGTTTAGAACAGCAATGCAAATCCACAACAAAAGTACAGAATCAACACTGGATCATTATCTCAAGTGTTTGTTTGCAGAATAAACTGATCCTAATTTTTATCCATATAAGGTTAACATATATATATACTACAACCCCTATTAACTACTTTTAGTCATTTTCTTCATTTCTCTCCAAAACAAAATATTTGGTCTTCTTTTTGACCAGAAAGTGTGCTATGTGGTAACGTAATCCTACATAGATCAATAGTAATGTTTTCACATCCCAATAAAACTTTAGGTTTTTTCCCACTTTCAAAATAGAGTTTTGGCCCCCTTCATGTCACACCTTGAAAACACTACGTTTCTAATTCGGGGCGATGAAAAGAAAAGTCGTCGAGCTTTTTCATATAATTTGTCAATTTTAAGACCAAAAGAGGAACTTTAAAATAAATAAATAAACGCATTTAATTATTTTTTAAAGACATTTCTTATAAAATAGGCAATGACATGACTTTCAATGTTTTTGCGACACTAAAATATTATTATAAGTGTCATTTCAAGAAATTTCGCATATTAAAAAAAAAAAGAAAACAAGTTTTACAGTTTCTGTTTTGTCTATTATCAATAAACTATATAAACTATTTCTCTAATTACTATTTTGTTTAAAATGATAGCATTTTGATATATGTATATATTATTGAAATATTTGATAAAATGACACTATAATGTAGTCTATCTAACACAGTTTGTTTTGGAAATTGGTTTGTGTCAAACTGTCAATAGCTATGTATATCCCATTGAATTATGTATTACAAACCATTGAATTATTTGGCTCTGATTGTATAATATAAAAGGGCTTAATCTCCAAAAGTCTCTACTTATATCCATGATGAGAAAGAAAGAACTCATGCATATCCCACATTCACATTTGCAATGGTATATAAAACGTATTTCCTAATTATCGAAATGTTTTTTTGCTTGATACTGGAATAAACGAAATATTTCAGATGAAAATATTAATCAACTTAGCAACGGGGTCGCATCATTATAATTGCTATTGAAGAATTCATCTCCAAACTTATAAGGAACGATTTTTAGCCATTCAAGGGGGAGAGAATAACGGCTTTATAGCCCAACATGGATCTGGATCATCCTCCATTTTCAGCAAATATCCAATATGTCGTAAATATTAAAATCAATCAGATTACTTTTTGTATGGAGTTTACTAAAAGCATTACTTCTAGTGATAATGTCTCCACTGTTATATCCCACTTAATTGTTTCTACATCAAAACATCATCAAACAACAATATATGTATCATCATGGATTCATGGTTATTTATCATATAATAAACGTCTATTGGCCAACCACCACACAAAAATGTTTGTAGATGGAATGTGCCGACCCAACCACAAAAATTTCTTGATCGGACACATGCAAAAATAAAGTATTTAAGACGAATTGGCTCCTAAGAAATGTGAATATTGACGATATATATAAATATGATGTTATACAATATCCTCGTCATGGTCCAATATCTCATTACGCTGATGATGTGATCGCACATCGTTTAAAACTATCGTCTAACCTTGACTCAAATACCACTTGTAACTTATCAAATCATCATGTTATTGGACCTCATCCACTTCTTCTCACAAACCTTGTTGACCCATAGGATTCACTTTTATTTCACAACCGATCACTCATAAGACAATTCATCCAGTACTTGTTGACTAGGGCGGATGTATATACGTAAGGTAGTAGCGCTTGCCCTCCATTAAATTAGAAACATTTATGTATTTTGTTGGTTAATTATCCACTAAAATTTTTTTTGTACCCCTCTCTAAACCAATAAACATATCATTTTAGCTTAAATCACTTCCCCCAAACTTAAATTAGGGGTTTATATCCACATCTCACACATAAAAATAATCTATACAAGACTTGTTGATTGTTTCCGTTAGACCATTTTTAAAAAAAGAAAGCTGATACAATAGTGTGTAACTACATTGTTATGGACGTGACTAAGTTCTAAAAACAAAATTTAATTTTACAAAAAATGGTTGATAGGAAAGTAAATATATAGACCCAAATATGGACCCAAGGGGAATGTAAAATTGATCCACTATGGATTAAAGAAAATCTTGTGGCCACTTTAATATGCGGCTGCCTTTGCCTTCTTTTTCATGTACAGTAGAACCTCTATAAAGTAATACTCGATAAAGTAATAATCACTATAAGATAATAAATTTCTCCGGTCCCAACTCGGGCCAGTGTAAAAATAAGCAAAATGCGATAAGATGATAAGATAATAATATTTTTGAAACTTCTATGTAAAAATATGGTCCCAATTATAAGTTAAAGTAATAAATATATATAACTATACATTATATATACCTAAAAAAATTATTAAACTATGAATTTAAGTTTATCTCTAACTTTTTATTATATAAAAACTCATAATGCAATTTTTCTGTGCATGTAAAACTGTTAAACATATTCTAAACACATTATTTTCAACTTCATTAGTAGCTATAAGTTTTTTCTAAAGTTTTAAATTTTATTATGTATAAAATTTTATATAAATAAATATTTATAGAAGCTAATAATATATGTTTTATTACGATATCCAAAAGATTTGATCGTAATTTCAAGTTTATTTAAGTCATATTAATTATTTTAAATTCGTAATACATTATCATATCGAGAATAATTTTCGAAGATTATAAATTTTTTAAAATTTCTAAATATTGAATTTATTCATAAAGTAATACCTCTATAAGATAATAAATTTTCACAGTCCCAACATTATTACTTTATAGAGGTTTTACTGTACTTGTGATTCAAAAATTTCAAACCCACACCACCTCTCTATGTTCATCTTCTTTTATATTATACGTCTAAATATAAATACAAAATTTCTTAAAGTCATTTCAGATGCATTGCACTTGGAACTTAGAATGCTTTTCTTCCACCATTTTTCCAGTTCCCCGCCGACTAACCATACTCTGATTGCCACGTGTACAATAGATCCAAGACTACATTGGTTTTATAAAAAAAGAAACTTATATGATCTTCTAACTTTGACGAATTTACCATAAGTTTTTATGAAGATGTTATAAGTATATCACTTTTCTCTAGAATCGGTATTATTGATTCATGTTCTCATCGAAGCCCCAAGAGGATGATAACTTGACTAGCGTATATATATACATATTTTTGTTTGTTTTATTCTTTGAAAAAACTGCTTTTAAACGAATGACTTACAAATCGACGTTTGGATCCAGAGGTTAAGAATTCCGATTGTGCTTAGAAGGAAAACATATTACATGCATTGATACATGGCTTCGTCCCATAACGCCATAGTAAAAGCAAATGACGTACAAATCATACAAATTAGAAACTTATGCAACAGAATGTGGGAAATTAATGCATTTCTACTGTCGTTATGACATAGATTGGACAAATAATTGTCCATGAAATAGAGTCAAATTGTTACATCATGATCCTCTACATTCGGCAAATGCATTTCATCGGTTTCAATTGTCAATTTACATCTGCAATTTTCTAAAAAAGTTTTTTTTAATGGCCAACCCTAAAAAATCGTAGGAGGCTTTCTAAAAAAGGAAGATATCCAGTAACATCGTGAAGCCAAAGTCATGACCTCACAGCCAATCTA